GTTTTTGCTGCTGAAGAAGCGTCCGCCGCTTGGGGTTTGTGGGAGTAAAGGTACGGAGCGCTCAGGGAGGGGGGGGTCTGGGTTTCTGGAGCTGCTGCGTTGTTCTGCAGAATTCAGCCCCCGAACGGTGGTTCCGCAGGGCCTGCAGTCAGAGGGATGCCCGGGTGGGGTGTGTGGGTGTGGGGAGCTCCTGTTGCTGCTGCTGCGGCTCCTGGATTCACGCGTGGGTGAAGTCTCAACACGGCCTCTGTTAACAGCATTCCTCAATCCGCAGGAAGGTAAAATGCTGAGGCTGAACTGCTTCACCTGAAACTGCTTTTTCTTCCAGGGAAAATGCTGCATGACGTTATAAGCCTTGTCACTGGGGAACCAAAGAGTTTGCTGGATGTTGTCTCTATTTGGAGAAACCTTCATGGGAGTGAGGGGAGAAAAGATGTCTCTCAGGAAAGCCAGCTGCCTTTGAAAAGGAAGTCGGAAGGAGGAACAAATATTGCAGCTAAAAGGCAGAAAACAGAACGACTGAGAAAGACTTTATCTGAGGAATGTCAAATGGAACCTGGAGAGGGGTGTGTGGTACCAGAGGAGAGCAACCAGGACAGCTCAGCTGAAAGCAAGACTTCCTTAGAAGACCCTTCCAAAAGCAATGGAGAGGAGCCTGTTGCAAATGAGCAGCTTAGCTTCAGAGTTTCTTGTCGTTGTAGTGGAGCAATTGCCAAAATACTTACTTCACAGGTGCGCTAATGTATCACTATTTTAGAACAATTTAACAAAGGTGAAGGAAGATGTATCATTTCATTGTCTCTAAATTGTGTTGTATGTTTTACAATAAGAAACTGATCTAAGCTTTTTCTGTGTTTTCTCAAAGAAGCCCTTAACCTGCATTCACCTTAAACAAATGGAAACACAAGGGCTGTTGTTAATTTCTGGGCATTGTTACCCTGAATATTTTTCAAGTTAATGCCTTCGTGGCAGACAATGTAAAAGAAAGCTCAAAACCAGAATGTTTCAGTTCTGGTGGACTCTGGGTACTGGGGAGAACTTGTTCCCCAAGAGGGGAACTCAGCCTTGAAAAGTGTCATGGGAGCGTGTGTGGATCTTGGTCCGTGAGAGGGAATAGTGATGTGGACACTTCCAGTTGCCTTTTCCATCCAGTTCTCTTTCCGTCTATAATACCTTTCTCCTGTGATGAAAAGCAAAAAAGAAACCCTTGTAGCTTCACATTATGCAACTCTCTCTTACTTGAAGAGTAGTTTAACTAGATTTTTTTTTTTTTCCTACTAAAGCTGGTACCTTGGAAAGGTGGAATACATGAGCTGGCCAACATGAGTATTTGCTTAAATTTGTACTGCACGTTTGAACTGTCATATTCTGAGGATAGTCAGGGCATTGTAGATGCCATAAAAGCAATAAAACCGTGAGTTGCAGTTGTATGTTCTCAGGTTTTCTCTTAAATAATCAAATTTACAGCAATCAGAAATATTTTGTACATGATATATAATGCTAAAATGATAACAACTTTTGTTGTACCTTGGGCAGGCCTTCAGCTTCCAGCTGAGTGATAGTAATTTTGTCCTGTGGTATGTGTGCTCTGCCCCTTGCTCACTTTCTCTGCCCTTTTGCATCTCTTCTGGTCTTTGTACAAATTGTTTTCCTAGGGATAAAGAGAGACTTTTCCCCAGCTGTTTTTAAGGATTGTGGAGTCAAGGCTGTGATCTATAGTTTTCTTAATTCTGTTATTTTTCCTGCTGTGACTGTGCTTCCCTCTTGCAGGAGATTGGAAGAGCCATTGGCATAGCACTCATGAAGCAGTTTGGATGGTGCACAGATCTGCGGAACCCAAACCTGGAGGTAGCAGTCAGTGCTTGTGTGCCAGATGGCCTGTTGCTGCTTCTGGAATTGTCCCTTGTGTATTTTGTCTTGTTCTCTGCTCCCTTTGCTCTCAGGACCTTGGCCTTTCCCTGTTCATCCTTCTTCAGCTGAATTTAGCTAGAAATCACCTAGCAGTACTGAACAAAGCTTTTTGGTAGCCACCACGTGTGTGTGTCTTCCAGGGCACTTAAATACCAGAAAGGCCAGTGTGGAGCTGTACGTGAGGGCAGGGATCCTGACAGGCAATGTCTCGGGATCTGGCACACTTACAAGCTGCAGGACTCTGTGTTGAAAATGGAGATCACCTGAGGCACTGGGCAGCTCATTTAGCCTCTGTAGGGGAAGAGAGCAAGGAGCAAGGTCGTCTTCTCAAGGAACTGGATTTGAGAATGCTGCTTATGGAAGAGCCTCCTCCTAGGCCCTGCCCCTGACAAACAGCTCGCTTAAGGCACTCCCCCTGGTGCAAGCTGTCTGGAGTCTGGAGATAACTCAAGAGCTCTTGACAAGCTGTTTATCCATCCCTATGCTTGGCCTATGGAGGCTGCTCTCAGCACTGATGCTGGGAGGTCTGAGGCCTTTTGTATAAGCACAAAGTTCATCTCCTGGCTTTGGTTTTCTCAGGCTGTTCATCAGATACGGCTTTGAGTCTTAAGTGGGGCTCTTGTTCCTGTCCAGATTTTTGCTCTGGAACCTTTCAAGTACTGAGGACTGGGATATTGCAAAAGCATCATGTGTCTCTTTGGGGTGTCTGGGGAGTGACTACAGTCATGCAAGACCTGTTGTAGAGCTTAGTCATCTTTTAGGGTGTTCTCTATGGGACCAGAGGACAGTTCCTTTGAACTCCCTATTTTTTTGGAAGGATTCACCACATTTGCCTTCCATCTGAAATGCTGCTTAGTGGCACTTGGGGTTTTTTTGTGTGTAAATAGCTGAATGCTAGTCTACAGTGAATAATCTGTTCTTGCTTAGAGTAAGTGGTTTAATAATTAAAAATATCCATTAATTGTTACAAAAATTGGTTCCCTGAAAGATTCAGTTGTTTGCTGATGGATTCCTGGCTGACAAAATTCCCTTCTCAGCTTGCTTAAATTTTAAATCCTCTTTAAAGAGGCATTCAGATCACATAGTGTGATTTCTATCAACTAATCATAATTGTCTACAATGTGTATTTCCTTAAAAACTAGATCAGAAGTTTGTAGAAGCATCTTATGTGTCTAGGTTAAATGAGATAAAGCTGTTGTTGTGCCAGGTTGAGTGTGTCTAAGGTATTTTTTTTCCTCTTTCAGGTCTTTGTACATCTTAATGACATTTATTCTGTAGTGGGGATTCCTCTTTTCAGGTAGGCGTTCTCCTCACAGATTTGTCTTGGTAGTATCAGACCAGACATAATTTCTGAATAGTCTTGCTGTGCCCTGTGATTATTTGCCTTCTGGTTCAGTATTCACTGGACTCCCCCGTTAGTCTGATGACCTGTGTGGAGCTTACCTGAGCATGTAGGCCAGACTTTGCAGTGAGTTATGGATAAAAGCAAGCTGCGGTTTCTGTCTGTCCAGTTCATTTGTTCTTTCATATTGCATGAGCTTTTCTGGGTGGTTATACCATTATCCTGTGTTGGTTTTTCCCTGCCTGCAGGCTTCCGTTGGCAAACCGCGAGTACATCAAAGCGGCGGGGCTGCGATCGACCATCGCGTGGGCCATGGCATCTCTGGCTGAAATCAGTGTAAGTGAATGTTCACGGCCTTGGAGTCCTGAGTTGGGTGGGTTAGGCTGGAGCTGGAGTCTTCAAAGAAGTGTGGTGACTTTAATGCCCCATACTCTAATGCCTGTGGACAGGATTTGCCTTATCTGTGATCAGAGTGTTCTGTCACCTGCAGTTCAACCAGGCATCTGCTGTAATCTCGGGTCCTTCTCAGGAAGGTGCTATTCCTTATATGAATATATATTTCTAAATGGCAAGATTTTTTTTCACTACCCAGGCTTCAAACCTTGCTAGGGGTTGTTTTCCCAAGGGAGACAGAAGCAAATCTGATGTTTTCTACATATTATTTTAGTACCAGTATCTTGTCTGCAGCACAGTCATAATTTGTTTCTCTAAATGTCACCTCAAGGTTGGATGCATTGTCTTTAGTGAAACTATTCGTGCTTTTTACTATACTCTAATAAGCAAATTTGACGTGGCAAACCAGTGACTATTGTTACCTGCACTGGATTCAGTGGGAGTATGTAGGTGATCTGTACATCCCTGAGTAAGCTGTGTCCTGGGAGAGAAGTCTGTCTTGCTTGGGATGCAATGACCCCTTTAATTTTGTAGGCAGGTGCCTTTGTGCTGGATCCCATGTGTGGAGTAGGAACGATACTGCTGGAAGCTGCTAAAGAGTGGCCTGTGAGTATCACAGTGGCAACAGCTGGGACCTTTGCAAGATGGCAAGTTGTGTGGAGAAAAATCTGTCCCACAGCTACATACACTAAAGTCCATTACTGGAAAGTGGAACCAAACTGATCTTCCTAGGCAGTTAGAAGTGTTTTAGTACGGACATTCCTCTAGAGGAACGTGCATCCAAATCCTGCATATTTGTGCAGGTGGGTGCTGACAGTCCTGTGTATACTGTGCGGTTTGTGTGAGGCAACCGTGGACTTCTAAAACTGTCTGGGCTGTGCAATCCTGGGAGCAGAGCTGTTGGTGTGATGGTACAGTCAGTTGTCAGTGTCAGAGGCAACGTGACTTTCTGTAGCTAGCTGGGGTCTTACTGTAAGAACATAGCCTCAGTGCTTCTGTAAGTTACAAGTGGTTTGAGCAGATCAGAACATGAAGGGGGTTGAGGTAGCACAGACTTCCCCCATTCTGCAGTCCTCTGGGTCTGTGTATTACTCTGTAATGGTAGTAGATCTCCCAGAAAGGGTTTTGTGGTAGAAGGGCTGTGGATCAAGGTTGTTCTGAGAAAGGTTTATTTGTCAACTAAATTACTTTTATCTTTTTCTCTGAACAGGAAGCCTGTTACTGGGGTGTTGATATAAGTGATTCACAGTTAGAGGGTGCAGATGTGAATATTAGAACTGCAGGCTTGATGGATAAGATTGAGTTACTTAAAGCTTCTGTGAAAGGTATGTCTGTAGGCTTTCCAAGTGAGACATATTTGACTTTTTTTGTGGTTCTGGCATTATACGGGTAGTGTAGGTTCTCTTGAGGTGATGTGTAGTAGAGGTAACTCTTAACGTATAGCTGAATAGTGACTCTCTAGTGCTAGTGAATGGATAATTATTTGTACTTCCCTATATGAACATTGGCAAGAATAAATTGAGCGGAAGACAATGAAAATAATAATTGTCAGACAAGGGCAGTTATTCTGTCTTTGTGGTATTCACAAATTTACCATTAAGGTACACACATGTGAGAGCTTTTTATTTCTAAGGGGAACAGAACAAGGACAAATACAGATAAAATATCAGTTGACACTTGATCACTTGATTGTACCAAATGAGTAATAGTGAGGACTCCTGAAGTTCAGAGATGAATTGTTGACGTTTTGTGGTAGGCTTATTTTAAATGATGATGCCTTCCTCCTGGAAGAGGGTATCTCTTTGCTTTCAGTGAATGAGCTAGTTTGAGGAGAAGGTGATAATTGTATGACCTTATTTTGGTCCTCAAAGCCTGAATCTAAATTTGTGCTTTATGAAATTCATGACAGACAAAAGCTGGCTGTTTTTTTCCCTGTACGTGGGTGATGATGCATGCATATTTTTATACCTTGCAATATTTATTTCTTACCAGAATATTAAGAAATATTATTCTTTCTTTTTGCTAAATATATATATATATAGCTTTATTTCTTCCTTAAAAGATGTGATTGTGCTTGACTTCTAGGATAACAGAACGTACTCTGATGTCAAGCTTTTCTAATACTGAAAAAGTAACTGGTGCCTTTGTGAAGCTGGTATTTCTGCATGTTTTGAGAAGGACCGTAGGTCACTTGTCCTTCCATTTGTAAATAAAATGGATTTAAAGTTGTGCTGTTAAGTGTTGATCCAAGGATGGTCCAAGAACCATCTCCAGCCAGTTCTGGAAAGGCTGGCATAGAGTCACAGTAGGGTTTAGGAGAGAAAGGGACTGCTGGAGATCTGTAGTCCTGCAGTTTTCTGGGAGTGGGGCTAAACCCAAAGCTGGGTGAAGTTTCTCAGGGCTTTGTCCAGTTGAGTTTTGAGCTTTCTGAGGGGTGGAGAAGCCACAGTCTCCTTGTTTCATATGCTGGCTACACTGTGGCCAGCACAGCCTGGGGTGTGCCTGTCCTTCATCACGGCAAGGATGCATGTTCCCTGGAGAGTGTGTGGCAATACTTGAGAATCGTTGCAACAGACACCAACAGTCTCCCACAGATAGTGGCTGTAACTGGGTTCTTCAGAGGAGAAAAGGGGGTTGGAGAGGAATTGAACCTGCAGTTCCTTGCTGTTCATATGTGTGCATCTGAACATCTGTGCTAAGTGCTTGCAAGCTTAGCTCATCTTTCTCATTTTGCTTGTAAAGATGTTGAGAAGCAGCAGTTAGTTTGGAACCATGCAGTTCCCTTTTAAGAGAGCCTTACTCTCATACCAGCAGGAGCAGGGAATCTGCAGGCTAAACCCCACTGTCCTGCATTTGTTTCTTCCTGTTCTGCACTGGGTTGGTGGCTTTGTAGTGCTTTTGGTGAGGATAAGTACAGAAGGAGCTATGAACCTGGGGGTGTAACCCACAAAAGAGCTGGCAAACAGTTTTGTAAGGTAAATGGGAGCATAACTGCTATTCATTTTTCAGAGAGTTAGATGTAAAGACCTGCCTTTATTCTGCAGCATTGCCCTTGCCTTCAGAAAGCTTTGACGCTGTGATTTCGGATATTCCATTTGGGAAGAAGTTCAAGATCACAAAAGACATAGAGCTTCTGCCAGATATTCTCCAGGAAATGGAGAGGTATGTGTGGCCTTTGACGTGCTTTGGTCTAAGTGTCATGATAGTTTGCGATCCTAAGCATTCAGGCAGCTTCACGTTTGCTTTATTTTAAATAGTCTGCAGCTCTGTAGTCTGATCCTGTGCAGACTGTGAAATTCTGAGCTCTTGGCTCCTCACTTAGAGGCTGTTGTGGCTTGACCTGCAAGCTGTGGAAGTGCTGATGGCAGCACAAGCTGACAAGGAAAGAACTGGTATGAACCACACACAAATATTCTTTACAAGAGATGGTGGTGACAGAACAGAGAGGGTGATCCAGACAAACTTAAAGCATAGCCAGGCAAATAAATCAATAAGCCTTTCTTGGTTAAGGTCTGCTTGTATAAAGTTATAGGCTTTTGTTTGGAGTTCACAACAAAGCTTTTAGCAGCCTGCGTTAGCAGGAAGAATCGGACCAGGAACTGGAGGTATGTGTTTTCCTTTCTGTTAGTGTATACTGAAATACCCAGCTAGCCATCTGGTCTGCTTTTAGATGCCTCTTTTCATCTGTCACTTTGTTATTTTGTGGCAGAGTTGAGCCAGCCTAATAGTGAGCAGCTTCTAAGGGGCAGTTCAAACCATCTGCCCCTTTATTTCCTTTATTGGCTGAAAACAAGCTCTGTCTGTAGGACTGGTCTTTCATGGATGATTGACCTTGCTCACCCACTGCAAGAATGTGGCAGGAAGATGCTAAGGAAGGTGAGGTAGCTCCACAGAATGGCAGGGCTATCTTGCGTCAGCTTGCCCTGGCTGTGCTTGTCTTCTGGTCTCGTTTGCTCTGTTGGATCATCCTAAGCAAATTATTTCCTTTAGAGGTGGAGGTGAGGAAGGGACCATTACCATGAGAGCCCCACCACTAAGACTGTTTAACCCATTTGCTGTGAACAGAGCCAGGGTAGTCTTTTTCTTCCACTCTTTCAAAGCCCAGTGTAGTGTTTGCTCATGTGCTAAGGAAAATGGATTGCAAGCAGTGGTTAGTTTTCCTCTGTTTCCTGAGTTTGAAAGTCATTAAGAATCAGTGGAACACGGAAAGGACAGAACTTTTAAAATTTCCAAAGGGAAAGGCCAGCTTTGGAATTGCCTCATCTACCTGAGAAGCTCTTGCTGCCCTGGGAAGTTGTTGCTTTGCAGACTGGTGGAGGCTCATGTGACCCAAAAGCAGGGTTTGAAGGTGTTGTTGCCCTCAAACCATTGGAACAATACTGAGAGGGAAAAAAACCTGATTCCATCATCCCTGCCAACCCAATGGAAAGAACTCTTGAGGTCAGAAATGTTTGGGAGTCAGGACAGGGGCCAGTTACCTCATTTAGGAAGAGTTATAAAGGCAGGGAATTTGAATTCCCTTTGGAGACACAGCTTACTGAGCTGAGCCATGACCCTGAACATGCTTAGGTGGTTTACTGAAAGCAGCTGACATCTGAAATGCCAGCAGTGTTGAGTGCTGCACAGATGAATAAATGCCAGGCAGGCTGAACACTTCACCTTTCTTTTTGCTGCAGAGTACTCTGTGTTGGAGGCACTATTGTGCTGCTATGGAGTCAAGATCTCCATAAGTGCATGGATGGCATTACCAGGTGTGCTGAAAAGGACTCTTCTAGTGCCATTTCTGAAGGTGCATGTGAAACTGCTGCTGCAAAAGCTCTGAATGTTGGTGGGAATTCCTCCTTGGGGAATGGTGTTGAAGAATCCTTTCTCAGCAGCCGACAGACACGTTTTGGGTCTCTGGTGCCAGATGGTGTCTATGGGGTTAGCCTTGGAAAGACAGATGCTTTCATATACAAATACAGGAAGACCTCTGCTACTGGGAATCGGTAGCTTTCTTGCACCAGGCCAAAGTGAACTTGCATCCTGATTACACCTGAAAAGCAGCACGGCAGTGATCTGGTGGAACTCTGCTGATCCAAATGAAGCCTGTGCCATTTGTTAGCTCACCTCAGTTTCATTGGCTGTCCTAAGGCACTGCTTTTCTCTTGGGCTTTTAGGAGAGGCAGATGATGTCTACTAGTGTTTCAGATGCTTTTATTGTAAAATACTGTAATGGGAGAGAGCCTCGCAATGTTGGGAGGAGTTTCTTTGGGAGAGAAGGTCACTATTTGCAGAACTACAAAACCAAATGTAAATGGATTTTTACTTTCAGCAGTATTTTTTAGGAAGCACTTCTTATCTGAAGAAATCTCCAGCTGTTTTTGAGGGCTGGATGTATGCTTTACCATGCAGTCTTTTATTTTACTTTAAACCTAATTTCTGATTAATTTGAAGTGTGGCTATTGAGATCTCTGAGTGGAAAATAAACTATTTTCTGTATTAATTCTTTGCAACATTTACATGTGTAATATTACTCCCAGGGCACAATATGGAAGATGGAAAAAAAAAAAGTTGTGTGTTGTCATTTGGAAGCATTACTTTGTCCGTGTGCTTTCCATAGCAAGCATGTCTCTACTCTGGACATCTTAGAATTTAAAGTAAGAGCCTGTGGTGTGGACTGACCCTAACTAGCACCAGTGCAAATTTGTTGTAGGAGATGAAGCTTCATCTGTGTTGCTTAGTTCTTCTTGTGTCCTAGGAATATAATCAGGAGACGTAACATTCTTTTCAGTGAGGGTCTGAAAGACAGGCGATGTTTCAGTTTACAAGGAATTTTTTTAGTGAAGTTCTTGTAGGACTTAAAATCTGTTTCCTTGTCCAGAGGTGTCTTCTTTCAAGACCGCTAAAAGTAATGGTGAAATCGAGTGACTACTTTGTAAAATGGTTGATGTAACAAAACACAATTAGCTAGCAGTGGCTTTTTGGGGGGGGGTTGAGCATTCTTCAGTGCTGCATATCATATTTTCATTTCCATGGTTTTGTTTTTTGTCAAGTAATTTAGTTTCATCTAAAGTCTAGTTGGGAGACTGATAGCATAATTACTTTTCTGATTGCAGTTGTGTCTCAAAAATTCTTGAATTTTATCTTCTCTCAAATTTTCTCATTCAAAATGATATATGCTAGAAAGACTGAAAATTAGTTTGTGCTGTCTGCATGTTATAGAGTTGTCATGGTTGGAAGGGCCCTCTTCATATCGTCTAGTGCAACCCCCCTGCTACAGCTAGATCACACAGGGACACATCTAGTCGGGTTTTTAATGTCTCCAGAGAAGAAAATGTAACTTCTGTCCTGCTTCTGTATTTCAGTGCTGCAAATAATTCAGTTGTGTAGGAAGACCATTAAAGTGTAAAAGAAGAGGTAGGGTTTTTTTGGTTATGGAAAAGACATCCTGTCCTGTCCAGTTTCAGGAAATATTCCTAGAGTTAAATGAGATGATTGCTTAGTTTTGTTTGCTTAGTATTTACTTAATCTTCATTTACAAAGACTTTTGTGTCTCTTGCTATGTAATTGCTGTTCTAATAACCTCTGTTCCAAGGACCTTTGTAATTTATGCCATTCTTTTAAGGTCTGGGTTACAAGAGTTGCACACTTAGGAATAATTTGCATTCTACTACTTTTGGTTTGGGTGTTAACTGCTTTGAGGCATATTCTAGGGTGATTGTATGTCCATTTCTTTTCTTGATATGATTAATTTATATCACAGCATATCTTGGAAAAAAAACCCCAAGTTATTACTTTAGTTTAGTAAAGGTTGAACTTCATTTGCCATCTAACAGGTCATTCATCAAGTGTGGATGGGCCCTTCCAAAGATTTTCAACATCTTACTAAAAGAAAGGCCCTTCCTTTACTTTCCTCTTCACTGAAATTCAAATACTTGTGATAGTGAGATTGTCATTCCTGCAAAGGTATCTGTTATTCCATGTCTCCTTATTTCAGTTCTTCTTGTCATTAGGCTTCAGCTGTTTAACAAACGCAGACACAGAACTCTTGTAGGGTGTGCTTTGCTGGAGGTCTCATTTTGAAAAAGAAAAAGCCTGATTTTCTGCTTCCAGCTCTTTGACATGCGCGCTGGTTTTGGTGAGGGAAGTTGTGCATCTACCAGCTCAGCTGCTTCATGCTGAAACTCCTGGATTCTGTGGACCTCTCTGGGGAACACTTGGTGACTTTTACTCTCAATTGTGTTTTGGAGTCTCTGGTTTCTGGTACTGCTCCTGTGTGTTCCTGGAAGAGAATGTGTGAAGAACAGATGACCCTGAGTCATCTCCCATTTTGCAGAGTCCTATGTACAAATCTCATCTCTCTATGTCTGTGCCCTTGCTCCTCCTTCTTGGGGTGATCCAGGAAGGCATCAATTCTTCTACAGCTCTGCTGCTTCGGAAATATTAATGGACTTCTACTTGAGTGCTTTTTGATAGGCATTTTAATCTTTGTTTCTTCTTGATTCGGCCTCATAGCTGTTGAACCTCCTTATGACTTTGCTAGGAACAAATTGTCTGTGTTTTGAGAGCTCTGTATTTCAGCTGTGGTTAGCTAACCTGGCAGAAAACTAACAAAAAGGGAAGTGAGTGGCTTTTGCCTCATTGGAGAGTTGAATCAGCTTCTGGAGGAATTGTGTGGGTTTGAGAGAAGCTGAAGGGGAGGCCTTTAGGGCTGGGAGCTAGGGGATTGGGAAGCCATTTGCGTGCCTTTTCCTGAATAGCTGACCTAATGGAGGTTAGGAAGCCTGTCTGTGCCCTGGAACCAGTTATACCATGAAGTAGCAACTTGCTTAGAGATCACTGCATTTTGTTCAACAGTTTGCATAGGTAATAGTCAAAAAGAGAAGTACTCTGTTGTTACTGGTTCAACTTAGACTTTGGTTTTATACACCTGATATTACCAGCTTCCATTTGAAGGACAAGTATAAGCTTGGAAATAGATTTACTTCCTTGGACCTTGGATTTTATGTCTATACTGATTTAGCTGCATAGACCTCTCCTCATGAATCTGCTGCTGTGCCATATATTAGGGGCAGTGCTAGATGCTAGCTTTCCTTCTCCTTTTCTTCTTTCCTCTCCTTTTCAGACACACACCTTGCACATTCTCTTGCTTGGCTGGTGTTTCTCAATAGAGCCCATCCCAGTTCTGCTCCACTCCATATCTCAGTTCCAGAGTAATAAGGCCTTTCCAGTTGTGAGGCATCTTGGTTAACGAATTTTTGTATAATGGAATAACAAGGAACTCTGGATTTTGGTAGAAGTTTTGCAGGTAATGTTGTGATCTGATATTCTACGTTGTCACAGAAACAGTAGCAATTATTACCTGTTTAATTATGTAGTACTTCTTCAATTTGACTTAGTGGTTGGTGGGTTTTTTAGAACTCCTCACCATATATGGCAATCTGGATTTCTGAATCAGGATCCTTACATGGTTTTCCAGAGCAGACATTGAAAAAATGCTGTATAGATTTAGTAATGTGACTGCATGTAGGTAGAAGCATTGTAGGCTTATATTTGCTTCTGGAATCACAGGATCACAAGGTGGCGGGGTTGGAAGTGACCTCTGAAGATCATCTAGTCCAACCCCCTTGCTAGAGCAGGATCACCTATGGTAGATCACAGTGGAACACATCCACATGGGTTTTGAATGTCTCCAGGGAAGGAGACTCCACAATCTCTCTGGGCAGTGTACGCAGTAAAGAGGCTTTTCTGTACGTTTAACTTGAACCTCCTGTTCTCCAGCTTGTGCTCATTGCCCCTTGTAGTGTCATTGGACACTGCTGAGAAGAGACTGGACCCATCCTCCTGACACTCTCCCTTCAGATATTTTCAAGTGTTTATGAGATTTCCCTCAGTCTCCTCCAGGCTCAACAGCCCCCAGCTCTCTCAGTCTTTGCTCACAGGGCAGATGCTCCATTCCCCTAATCATCTTTGTGGCTCTGTGCTGGACTCGTTCCAGTAGTTCTTTATGCTTTATGAACTGGGGAGCCCAGAATTGGATGCATTATTCTAAATGTGGCCTCACTATGGCAGAGTAGAGCAGGAAGATAACCTCCCTTGACTTCCTGGCTACACCCTTCTCAATTCACCCCAGGATGCCATTGGCCTTCATGGCCACAAGGGCACATTGTTGGCTCATGGTCAGCTGGGTGTTCACCAGGACAGGAAGACCTGTGTAATACATTCCCATTGTCATAGTTCACTTGTATAAATGGGCAGGCCAGTTGTACACTGGTTTTGATTTCTAGATACATCATGTTGCAGTGATGATGGGAAAATGGGCTACATTTTGTGAAATCTGCATGTGAAGGAATTGGTTTCAGGCTCCTGCTTATGGAAACAGGGCCAGGAGGAAAAACGGGCCATTGCTGTTAACCTCATCATCACAGAGGCTGGGAGTTGGAGCGCTTATGGTGCAAGTGAAACAAAAAATGAACACGTTTTCTTACATGAGCTTCTTTGAGATTTTTGGTTGCAATTAACAAAGACAGTTTATATTCTTACGAACTTGTGACAGCCCCTTCAGTGCTAATAACCAACCCCCCTGCTACAGCTAGATCACACAGGGACACATCTAGTCGGGTTTTTAATGTCTCCAGAGAAGAAAATGTAACTTCTGTCCTGCTTCTGTATTTCAGTGCTGCAAATAATTCAGTTGTGTAGGAAGACCATTAAAGTGTAAAAGAAGAGGTAGGGTTTTTTTGGTTATGGAAAAGACATCCTGTCCTGTCCAGTTTCAGGAAATATTCCTAGAGTTAAATGAGATGATTGCTTAGTTTTGTTTGCTTAGTATTTACTTAATCTTCATTTACAAAGACTTTTGTGTCTCTTGCTCTGTAATTGCTGTTCTAATAACCTCTGTTCCAAGGACCTTTGTAATTTATGCCATTCTTTTAAGGTCTGGGTTACAAGAGTTGCACACTTAGGAATAATTTGCATTCTACTACTTTTGGTTTGGGTGTTAACTGCTT